CAGCCCCGGGAGGCAGCGGGACACGCAGCGCTTTTGTCCGAGGCGGCTGAGGAAGGCCAAAGGAAAGAGTTTCTAATCCCAGCTCTCTCTCGTGGCCTTGTGATGTTCAGCCTGGAAATAGCCGTTCCTTAAGACAGGCTTTATTTCCCTCTTCCTAGAAACATCTCTTGAAATTTCAAGGTTGAGGCAGCGCTTTCTGTGTCCATTGCTCCGAAGGCTCAGAGGGGGTCCCCTCTTTTCAATGCTGCCAAGGAGCCTCAGATGCAGTGAGGGTTACCTTGCCTGCTCTGAGTGCCACAGCATCACCCCTTTTAATCCCAGTTGTGTAAAGAGTTCAGGAGTCTGTCTTGTCCAAGTGTCTTCTCCTCCCACCAGGGAGAAAGACTGTCTCTGTTCCTGTCCCAAGTACCATTCAGAGGGCTCTGTCTCACTTTTGTCCCCTTGGAGGGCGCGTGTGCCACAAAGTCCTTTACACACTCCTGCCAAACAACAAATAAGGCTGCACCCCTGCCTAGTCTAGTTAATCACAAGTTCCCTCTCCAGGCAGCAGAAGGTTAAAACACCCCCTTGACTCTTATTACAGAAGGAAAGGGGTGTATGTTCCTGAGCCGCTGAATATGGGGAGCTGATGCATGGACCAAATGTGTCTCTTGTTTCATCATTCTTTCAGAATCAGGATTAGTTTGCTTTCTTTTTGGGTAATTTAACATGTCAAACACAAGCTACTAAGAACAAAAGTTCCCCCAAAGGAAATTCTCTTTCCCGTCTTCTTCATGTACCATGTACTCAGCGACCTACTGACTGCTGAGCACATGCTTTGCCCCAATCCTGACATGTGCAGGGATCTGGTAATCTGAGTGTGAAACAGTGCTCCTAAGTTTTCTTCTTCAAATAGTGTTTGTTACAAAGATAACAGCATGTCCTGCTTCACACTCATGTTGCTGGTTTTAGGGATGTTATTATGCATTATTCTGCAGAGGATATTTTGGTCACCAATATCAAAATACAATGTTTTAATCTGTTTCTAGTGATGCTCTCCGTGGACATCACCATCTTGTGGCCAAATGGACACTTGTATCATGGTGCTAAATGGAGGAGGCTGTAGGAGCTGGCCGCTGGTGAGACCAGCCGAAGGACAGGAGGGGAATGGCCTGGATGTGGGGACTGCAGTCAAAGGCACAAGAGACATAGAAATGTTGTAGGGTCAAAAAAGTGACTTGGCACCGCTTCAGAATTTGTTTTATCACAAATAGGAATGAAACATTAGTTAATTTAAGACTCCTCTATTCAACTGGAATTTTATCAATTGTATTTCTCAACTCCGAGCAGGAGCCCTAGATACTGCAATTGAATGGAAATCTTATGTTAGGGATAGTTCAACAATTCTGTTGGGAGATACACAGGGACACCGCAAAGTAACAGGGAAAACAGAGGGTTGCGTGAGGAGCATGTACAGTCTTACACCATGATGCCTTTTGCAGAAACTCCTCAGCTCTTAAAATCTCCACATGCTTACACCCTTGGCCCGTTGCATATCTCTGTGTCTGCAACGCCCATAGACATTTCAGATTCTGAGAGAGATGCATATAATATTAGACCTAATATAATAGACTTTTGAAGATGGTGCCAAGCACCACAACCAAATACGAGAAGGGAATTGGCACTAACTAGGAATACTTATGTCATATCGGGTGATGCCTGGGGGTACCCAAACCACTTGCGCAAGACAACAAACAGCAGACAGCCTCATGCACTTTCAAAATCTGTTCTATAACTTTCTTCATAGAAAAGGACAATAGTTAGCCAGTCTCAGATGGTACATACTTACCGTCATTTTAATATTATTTTTATTTAGTAGATGAGGAGGTAAAATTGTGAGAAATTCGAAGATTAAATTGTTCATTGTCCAGTCAGGCTTGATGAAAAGCTGATACTCTCAATCCATTCTCGGAGGATTTAGAATCACTTTTATTGCCTTGGATCCTGAATGTATCTCATTCACTGTGAAACAGGTTAAAATCCAACTACTTGCAGCCCTAGGGTTTGTTTTGTTGCATATTAACATGAACAGACCTCAGTCCTTCAGACAGATAATTCGATGCATTTGCTCCTAAGTCTCTGTCTGGTTATTTCTGGGACGCTTTGAAAGCATTTAAGATAACACATGAGGTCTTTTCCATTACTAGTACCTAAAATTCTGTGAGTATGTTTTAAAACCAAGTACTGCTTGGTTTACATTTCCATAGTAGAATTTGCTATGAGTTATTCATCTCAGTATTCTTTACATCAGGAATTGTAGCTATGGACTGGAGCGCATGGGATGACCCCAGTTTGGCAACTAGATCTCAGTTCTTAAAACAGAAAAAAGATTTTACTACATTCCATCCAGCTCCATTAATACTGCATTTTTACTATCTCCTTTTATGCATCTTATACCTTTTAAATTCAGGTGCTTCTAGTCTTTCCACGACACAGGAAAACAAGCAGAAATGCTGCTTATTGCTAGAATTTGGCACAAGATACTTAGGTCTGGAAAGGATTTATACAAATGTACGCACATGCACGCACACACGCACACATACATACACATTTATTTATACAGCACAATTTTTTTAAGCTGTTTTTTAAATTATAGGATAACAGAAACACACAGAAAAGTTTGAGGCTTTGGACACTTTCTACGTATTTATTAAACAAACATGCTTTTGGTCTTAAAACTGAATTTTTGCAGGCCTTGCTCTATATTGTACCATATCTTTTTAGAAGTTTTGAAAAGCTGAAGTTTGCAAAGCAGTACATGCTGCAAAATGGCTCTTTATAGAGTCGTATGCATTTTTACATATGTGTACGTGCATTTTATGTATATATTTAAAACTGGTTTTAATGCATGCCTTTCAGAATTTGTATGTTTCAATAGGACTGAAAACCTCTGATGGAGAGCATGAATTGAAAGTAAAACTATAAAGATATACATGTCTATGAGATGTACTCAATTGCAATGAACCAGCAAGAATGGACAACTGAAAACAAATCTGTTTATGTGTTTAAAAATTCACCAAGAATTCACATTTTAAAATAAATTTTTTTTCTCATTTTTTGCATGCAACATAGAACAGAGATAGCAGTGATTTTTCATTACTTTTAACACAAAACTTATGGGAAATTAAAAGGGAATTGTAGATATTGGAACAGAAAAAGTAAATTAATTACAGTTAGTCGAAGCTAATTTTCAGTTATATCCCTTATTTTTTTAGTGGATTTAAGCTCAGTCCTTAGTGTTATTTTAAGAGGCTTTCTATGGTTTGCTGTATGCACAAATAAATGAAAAACTACTTTTGTTCTATGAGATTATTTTGCTTGGCATTCAACATTTAATACTACTTCATAATTATGATAATGTTTCTTGCTCATAGACTTCCTTTACAGACTTTACAGTTGATTTATGCAAATGTATCAATCAGTGTCATTCAGTGATTTCGAAAGAATATAACGAATTGATCATTCAAACTGGTATTTGCAAATACTTTTTAAAAAAAGGAAATATAAACATATAAATAATTAAAAATAAATTTAATTTGGCATGCCGGTGATATATTCTATTAACAGCTTTATTTCTTTAGCTAGTCAAATTATAGTAATAATTTGCTGTCTGGTACCCACAAACTTTATTTCTTTTATAGTGTTTCATTTAATGGTCTCTCTTGTACTCTACAGGATTTAGTTTGATGGAGGAAATAATTATAATTTTAACTGGTCTGTTCCGTCGAGATTTAAGTGGACTATATTGTACAGCTTTCTTTGTATGTTACAATGCAATTTATAGTGATACAAAGTACATTAAAACACTTTACAGAGTTGAGGACTGCTACTGTCCTACAAGCAGAAAGTGGAGGAAAGGCTGTGTGGAGATGGAGGGAAGAAAAAAGGAAACAGACCTGACATTTTAAAAGCCGTAAAGAGGCAGGTGAGGGTCCTTGCAGGCTGGTTATTGTAAGGGAAAAATAGAAGATGCAGAAATGGAGGGGAAGGCAAGTAGGATTTGTACCAGTACAATACATGCCATGGTATGTTATTTTAATTGCTGCACTCAGATGAACTGCAAACAATGTTGGTCACGGAGCAATAGATTTACACGCCTTTTCCTCTTGTTGCCTTAAGCTCTAAGTTGCAATGAAAACGATGGTGACCACCTGGATAGAGACCAGCAATACCCCAGCAATCAAAAAACAAAGCGTATGAGGACATCATTCAAACACCACCAGTTGCGGACAATGAAGTCATACTTTGCTATTAACCACAATCCTGATGCCAAGGACTTGAAACAGCTAGCTCAGAAAACCGGCCTGACCAAAAGAGTTCTTCAGGTAAGAATAGTATTTTGTCTTGGAAAGTAAATAAAATACCAATTTTATATTTAAAATGCCATGCATTTTGCTGATTTTCAAGCTTTTCTCAATCGTTCATACCTTCTGTGAGACTTCAGTTAAATCCTAGAAAGTATCAGAAAAGTTATTTCTTTTCAGTTTCCCAAAAGCAGATCACTTGGGTTCTAATTTTTAATGACAGTTGTGAAGGTTTGGGGTCCTGCTTGTTTTCCTGTAGTTAGTTAATTTGGGTGCATGTTTTAGCTTCCAATCTGTTGTAAAAAAAGTGAATTATTTTAGTTAGTGTGTTCACTGTAACTAGAGAGCTCTTAATTTAGAAATTACTGTGAATGTTTACCTTTATAAGAAATTAATCAGCAGTTTGAATTTATTTTATCAGGTCAAGGAGGATATCTTTTCTTTCATAATTGAAATGGACATAAATTTAATTTTTCAAAGATTAATTTTATATTCATAGTTTAGTAGCTTAGAATGAAAGGAGACTGCATTTTAAAAGTACTTTTTCTCTGAAAGCTGGATTTTTCTTGCTTCAAGAATGTACGCTCCATTTGAACTATTATGCGAAGCAAAGGTGAGACTATTAGTTGATTCAGCGCCATTTTAATTTATAGTTCTGATTGAAGAAGTCAATTTTAATGGGCACTTGTCCAAATAACTATACCTAGAGATAAATTTTGGCATATAGGAGCCATGGCATTCCGGGATCTATTGTTGAAATTTTTAAATGGGTCTTAATTGTAGAAAAATGGTTTGTGAGCTTCCTAGACAGGTAGGGCTCAGAGACAGACTCCTGGGAAAGCATCGTGGACAGCTCTCACAAATTCACAGGCAAGTGGAGGGCAGTAGACAAAAAATATTGAGAAAAAACTGAATTCACTGGAGAGATTCTGGATCTTGCAGTGTTAATACCTAACAGAAGAAGGAATAAAGGTTTTGTAGGCTTCCCAGTAAAAACTACTAATGAAAAACTGTACGTAATTACTTCTCTTGGCTACGTCCTCCATAGCTGGATTTTTTTGTTTTCATGATGCTGATTTGCGGTGATGGAACAGATTCCTCCAAGATAACTAGTGCATATCCTAACACTCAATGCAGTGTCTCTCATAGCAGCTCTCCTTTATCCATGCACATGGGCGAAATAGTTTACTGCATTTGTCTGTCCTTATTTTGACACTTCTCCTTTATTTACCCTCAGAGTTTAGACACTTAAGTAGAATCTATTCTTTCCATTACAGTGCACTCGCACCTGAATTATCTGAGAAATTTCACATAGCGCATTAATAAATGAGATCAGTGTCTAGAAAGTGTCTTTCTCTTGATCATCTTTCTGTTCTCTCTCCTCACTCCACACCAACTTTGACTTCCATCTCTCTCTTCTCTTTGCACCTAATGGGTTTTCCCTTCCAATCTTTTTCCAAGTTCTTGTCTCTGTTTCCTTCCTTTTCAGAATGTATTTCCTCATCTCCAAAATTGGACTCTGCGTCTCCATTACACTTCCGTTCCATTTTCAGTTTCTTCATTGCTTCTGTTCCATTTTAAACATATCACATATTGCAGTTTTAAGGTGCTTAGTGGTTCCTCTTTTTTTGTGGCAAACCCTTACAGTTCCACTAAACTTTTTTTATCATTTTGGTAATTGGTGTTTCACTTCTTTTGCTTTCACAGTTAAATACTCCTTTATGTCTGGGCTCCTTTAGCTGAAGAGTGGTGGAAGGTAATAGTTGGTGAGGATTGCACCCAGAGGATGATGCTGTTGGAGGCAATTCAAGAAAATGGCTCGGAGTGATACTTTGTCTAGTATCACTTGAGTTTTCCTGTCTGTTACGAGCACTCTCTACTCCATACTCTTGGACTTTTTGTTTGAAAATTAATTTGGGCCATGAAAAAACAAACTTGTTTTTTTGATTTTAGAATCGTTGTGCTCAATTTCTCAATTTCTCAATTATTTCTAACCTGAGAGAGGCAATTTTTCAAACACTGAAGTTCACTTATATGAGTTTTAGGGTTGCTCTTTGCTGGGGAGAACTTTTCATGATGTTGGTTACTGAGATAGAGTCACTTGTCAATGCTTTTGTGCCAGAAATGTTGGCATTCCGTCTGTGTCATTTATTGAACATGAAGTAATTCACTGACACTATTGATCTAAACAAGCATCATTAGTATTAGTCTGTCTTACACACTGAAGGTGCATGGACTCCCAGACATACATACTTGCCAGTAGTAAGAATTCTGCATTCCCTAGGTTGTTATTAGGTGTGTTTGTAAGCTGTTGTATTTTCTGTTATGTTCAGATCTCAGTTCAGCTGATGAAGGATTGTGGCTCTTTGTAAAGCATTAATAGAATATATTTTCATAGAAAATGCAAGGCAACAGATCAGGAGAAATTCTCCTGTTCTGAAACCAGTGTACTTCCTAAATACACATAGTAGAGTTCCTAGTGATTTAGGAAACAGCTACAGTACCTTTACTATATAGACAGTCCCACACAACATGTAACGAGGGTACTTTGTAGATGAGCAGAGAATTTGACCATATTCTTAATGATCTGTGATATCGGATTGGGAAGACCTGACTTCTGTCTTTGCATTATATACAATTAGTCATCAGCTACACATGTCCAGAAGTGGAATGGCACTGAAATGTAGCATACTGCTTCATAAACTACATTTCCTTCAGTGGCTTTGTAATGCAGACTGTTTTCTGTAATTAGCCACATTAGAATCACAGTAAGCCTATTTATATTTTTAACCTCTATTTTTATTTTTTTTCATTCCAATTTAGCTTTATATTTGCGATTTAATTTATACACCTCTTGTACTGCAGCTGGAGCACATAAGCCCATTGTAAGTTATCATTCATAATTAAAGTGACCAGCTAATTGTGAACTAACTAACTGGCATAAATGTTCCTCTTTTGGGAATAGATCTTTCTTTTTGTGAATTTAGAAAGGGAAGGTGGAAGTAAATAGCCCAAAGAAGATACGGCTTGCTAGCTATAGGTATGTATCTCTTCTCTCCCCAGGATTCTGGAATATGATTATCCATGGCAAAAGCAGTTTAGGAACATAAAGCGTCGTTTTTCAGTGGGTGTCTTGTACACTGCTTATTCTTTCTTGAATTGGTCCCCGGTAAAGTTGCTATGAAAACCCTACAAAGATTAGTGCATGCATTTGGAGTTTGCTAATTCAATTTCCAGTAGTCAACAGGCATGAAAATTTTCACAATTGTGTGTGGGTACCCTGTGCTACCTTTCAGTGAAGATTTGCTTTAGGCTAGCATACGGCAGACTCTTTACCGAGCCTCCATTCATAAAATATCCCATAGCTCTCCTTTAACTGTGAGTTTACTAATAACAACAGAGTAATCAGAATGTGTGTGCAATGAGTGAACATAGTTTGCTTTGTGGTGCAACATCTTTTATATTTTTGCTTCTCCGTTTACTAGTTAGTAAAATTTGGTAAGCCTAAATGTCCCCAGGTAGCTGTGTGAAAGAGCAAAATTGTGTTTAAAAATTTGTTTCTAGCACAAGCTATTCATACAACAAATATATAACAGGTGCAACAACGGAGGTGTTACAAACAAGAAAATAAAGTTATCTAAGGTGATTAGATGATTTCATCCACTGCAGTATCCAAATTCTTTACGATACTTAGTGTATTTATTTTCAATACTTCCCTGTCCTATGGAGGTGTTATTTTATTCCTACTTTACTTGATGGAGACAAAGGGTTAGCTGCACAGATCACTGAAGACGTAGTATAATATTTTAACCACAGTAAATATTATTTTGCCTAGCTGCCGAGTTGGCCAGCTACAGGCATCCAGCCCCGCTAAGGAGAATGTGGTTGCGTCGGTGGTGGGTCTCGCAGCTGCTTTTATTTTTCAGCGGGAGCTTTGGTCCATTTTTTCCCTTTTGATTTGAAATAGCTCAGCCTTATAATGATACAGTTGGACAGAAAAACACTAAATACTTTCCAATGATTTTGTTTATTCCTCAGTACTGAAGACCAGATTCCTAATTGTGTAATTGATGTGAGATAAGTCCTTCTGGAACAATTCTTTCAGTTATGTATGTTTGGCTTATTATTTCTTTACTTTACTGTAATACCGTTACAGGTGCAGGGCCTGAATTGCCAATGATGTGAGCATACCGCGCTACTGCCATTATGCCTGGGCAACCCTGACTTGCCAGCTCTTACACGCTACTTTGCACAGCCATAAGTAATGGCACGGGGCAGTACAGAAGCAGGCCTGCATTCCTACAGCTCAGCAAACAATATTTTTAATTCTTCACTACTCTTCAACGTGAAGTCTTTCCTGAATACTGTTATATCTTAAGCACATACCAGAATATCGCTATTGCAATAATGATGTTATCCCTTTCTATCATAAGACAGGGTATTTTCAGAATTTCAATTAAGAAATATTTAGATGTCTTTTCAGTAATACGATGAATATTTATTATTGGACAATTTTAAAGAGCTTTATAACCATTAGCTGATTAACCTTAACAATATCTCAGTGAGGAAGGAAGTGAAAGTAGTCATATAATCTCTATTTTTTTAAAATAAGACTTACAAGTTTATGAATATTTTCTATGTCTAACATCAATTACCACTATTAAAGAGAGAATGATCCATCTTATATGTGCAGCTCTTGCAAGCAGCATGAACGGTCATTGGCGAGGGCATCTGAGTACAGGTTTTCATATTTAATGGAAGATAAAGGAGAATACATAAACACCAACAATCTTACTCATTTTTCTTTACATACGAGGTTTCAAATCACAAACAGAAACAATATTGTAGAGTCTCTCGCTCTGTTAAGGTTAAGGAGCAGTTGGACACTTAGGAACAATGTAAATAAACAAAATAGTTATGGTGCCTTCTACGCTTTTACACACTTTAAACAAGAAAATTGTTTTGTGACTAGGAATGGAAATTTTACTCATATTTGGGACTACTGCATATATGTATATGCATATTTTTAATGAACATGTGTGAAATTATGCAGAAGTATGTGTATATGCAACTGGATGAGGTTAGTCTGTTCTAATTATTATGTAACCATGGTACACATACATATCAACAGCGGCGGAGTCTAAACTTCCATTTTGCCTTCATATGTATTATCCTTTTTACAATTGCTAGAAGGTGTATTAAAAAAACCAAACCCAAATACATTTGTGGGATAAATAGAAATTATCTCTTACTGAAAGGTAAAAAATCCCATAAATATTCAAATTGCTGGTTTTTACCATTTGCAACTAGTTGGCTCAAGACTTTGCAGCTTGAATGACCAGAACAAACTGATGTGCTGCACTTGCATGCCCTGCACACGAGGGTCCCTGCCTTACTCAGGACCCCGCGCACACACGCACATCCCTTCTTGCATGGCTCTGAATGAACAGTCATAGGAGAGGACCCTGGCTATGAACGTTCCAGGCAAAAATACCACATTTGGTTTTGCCTGGTTTTGACCACATCGCTGTCCTTTAACAGGTTTATCACTATAATGGACTGTGTTATGAAATCATGAGTATGTTTTTGCCAGTGCTAGTTCAGGAGAAGATTTTTGTTTTCTTGTTGTATATGAAACCAATACATAGCCTTTAAACTAAGTGTTTTAACAAAGGGAATGCCAACATAAACTGTTTTAAAATACTAAGCTTTCAGAAACAGGGACCTGTAGGGATGTGATTTTTGCATGGCCCATGAATGCAGCTCCTACGGCCACTGCTAGAATTTGTGCCCAAGGATTATTTCCTCGTGGCATTCCCTGGAGAGTGCAAGAGAGAGGGTGTGCACCTTAAAGACCCTTGGCTGGGGGAGAAAGCTTTCCAGAGAAAAAGTAAGAGTGCTCAATGGGGGGAATTTGGGGCTGGACCATCCATAGAAGAAAACCAGTCAGAGGAAAAAAGCCGAGACATATTCATCAGTTCTAACTGCGTCTGGCAAGCTGAGAGTGCAACAAGAACACCTTACAGGACTGCTCGTATTTAAGTATTACTCCTCTGTTAGCGGTCTGGCTGAAAGCAGATCCTATGGCAGAGGCCATGCTGTTTCAGAGTCAGAGGTCAGAATTTCTGTACAGGTTGGTGTGGCCTCGTGAGCTCCACGCACTCAATTTCCCTGTAGAGGCCACAGAGGAGAAATCTGATGGAGCTACTGTATGGCCATGCAGATCCTTTCGCTCACTCAGTTCCTTTCTCTGACAGATACAGAGATGATGAGGCTCACTGCATTCGGAATGGAAAGACTTGGTCCTATTCCTTATAGCAGGTCAACATGAGGACAGTAGGATCAGGATTGAGTCCATTGTAAAGAATGTAACAATGACAGAAGGCCTTCTGATAAATAACCACAGTGAAATTTCAGCTACTTTGTAGCAGTAAAATTACCTGGAATCAACATATATCAGGTTGAACACAGGGTATTTAATGACATTTTCAAATTCAGTCAAAGTAATATGCCATACTAGGTTTCATGCAAGTTTCACGAATACATTTTATTTTATCTATTTTCAAATCAGTCAGAAAAATATTTTATCTTTAAACAAATCCTGCAGGCAGTGGAGAGCATTATTAACTTGGACCTAAATACTGAAATTTAACTGAGACAGATGAAGTCATGGTTTTTGTCCTTCACTCAGATTATAATCAAATAATGCAAGATTGCATAGCAATCTTGGAAAAATGTTTCTAAGTGGATGTAATTTCTACTGAAATAACAGTTTTAATGCAATGTGGGTCATTAACACAATTCGAGCCTCTTTTCCTGACATCATTCCAGTACTGAAAACATTTGAAAAAGGAGAGTGGCATAGGCAAAGGGAGCTGAAGCATTTCAGAAAGAAGAGTAAGAAAGAGGGACAATCCTTTTAGAAAAGCGAGAGCACTGCTGACACTGAGACACGGGAAAGTTCCTGGGAGAGCCCACAGAAAGGCAGGGTGCTGTGGTCTGTGTCACCTGCTGCTTACGATGGGAGATGGACTTGAAATACAAGGGTGCCGAAACTCATTATTTTATATTCATCAGATGCTTGATGTCTGCCTCATCCAGACAAATACTTCTGGGATTGAGGGCAATCAAGGATTCATGCGGGCTGCCAAATGTCTAAGCATCTTTATACATAGCCTGCACAGAAAGACTCTCCTCCACTCTTAGTCCACTCCTGTCCCAGGCAGACTGTTTATACAGGATTGCAGGAGAGGGAGAGAGGAATGCTTTACAGGTGTACAGCGGACACGTCTCACCACTGGGGCTACTTTTCTAACATGTTACCAGTAAAAACATCTTCCACAATTCAAGTGTTGGTGAATTTGTGAGTATGCTTTTGGTTTTTTAAACACTGCAGCTCTTTAAATGCTACCCTGTTATATTAAACTATTTCAGGTTTGGTTTCAAAATGCTCGAGCCAAATTCAGACGGAACCTCTTACGTCAAGAAAACACAGGGGTGGATAAGACTTCAGACTCAACACTCCAAGCAGGGACCCCATCAGGTCCTGCCTCAGAAATATCCAATGCCTCCATGAGTCCATCCAGCACTCCCACTACTTTAACGGACTTGACTAATCCTACTATGCCTACTGTGACATCTGTCTTGACGTCAGTGCCCGGAAGTCTTGAGGTTCATGAATCTCGAAGTCCTTCACAGACAACTCTTACAAATCTTTTCTGATGACTCTTTCTTAATAATTTCTTTAAAAAAGAAATTATTCTTAGTTGAAATTCCAAGTGTATTTTAATAGAGGCTTTGAGCAACTGACTAACCACAATTAGGATCTCTCCTAAAAAAACAGAAGGAAATGTAGTGTTCTGGTATTACGGAGTATGGACTAAAGAATAACTTGGAAGATCTATTGCAACACAACATTTGTGTAACTGTACAGTTTTGTGGACTGAGCAAGGGAAACAGCAATTAATTTAAGTTGGCTAAAGCTTCTGTATTTTCAAAGACTGCCATGTGCCTTATATACCGTTTTATCTACATACTTTGGATTCCATGTCCACTTCTCTCTTTTTCTCTCTGTATATTTATGACCAGGGCAAAAATGTTAAGAGTTTGTTACTTTGAATAGTCCTAAGCCTTTCATTGGTTGCTTTGTTGTTTTAGAATTTTAAGGTCGAAGTCTGTTCGAATACCAGAATTTGTAAAATCTAACCAGTAATAAAACCACTTATGGAAACTACTTGGTAATGGCTGCAGTTACATTTAACATTAGTGTCACAATCAAGATAGGCCAATTGTATTTAAAAGGATTAGAAAACTGCACTTCGAACACAGTATCTGCCTAGGATAAACTCTAAATATGATGTATACATTCCTCCTGTTCCCTAAGTATATATGGGTGAGAAATCCAGCTTGTACAACAGTCTAGATATCTTCATTATAGAGAAACAAATAACTGTTAGTTGCAGGTAGAAGTTTTCAGATAATGTTAAAATTCAAACAGAAAAATTATACTTAATTTTGCTGCATGAAGGAAACTTGATCTCAGCTAGCATTTAGGAAAACAACCTTGCCTTTGTGCAAGAGATGGCTTGTCCCACTTCATGGAGGAGGCAAGTGGGGTATCTGACAGCTGTGTGGCCACAGTCAGTCCCTTACAGAGGTGGGCACTGCGTAATATTTTCCCTAGGAAAAAGACAGAAGTATTTCAGGTTATTTTACAACACCGGTGGGGAAAGTCGAGGCAAAATTATGTTTTATAAAGTCACAGCCTTACATTTTTTGTAATGCTTTGAAGGAATAAAAAGCCAAGGAAGACTGATATTGTCAATACTAATAAAAGTGGTTATTCCTTTAGTGATTCTGGACCTTTCAATATAATTTAATTCCCTCTCCCCAAAAAATCTGTGCAGAATATAACTCATATTTTGAAGTTTTTTCCTATTGTTTTTAAAGATGCTTTTCTGTAATTAAGAAATACCTCAACAAAGTTTAAATATGTATAAGAATGAGTATACACTATGCTGTTTGCCCAGTAGTTTTATAGATTTTGAGTGGTACATAAGAGGCATATGGTTGTTCCTTTTCAAACCTATTACAATCAGTTTATTTCAGTCAAATGTTAGGTTGTATGTGGCTAGCTCTCTAAAACTAATCTGTCATTCCCATTGGATCAAAATTGCTAAAAGATTATTCCAAATAAACAGCCAGATAGGTGCCAAGGTTCGTGTTCTTTGCCCTTTTCAGTGCATTGAAGATGATTCAGTAGGCCAGACTCTTTGGTAACAAAGTTTTGGGTTTAAAAGTTCTGCATTTATTCAGCTTTCTCAGCTGAAAATTTGCCATTCTTGTGCAAGCCAAATTCCTATCGAGATCAGTGAGAGATCTCAGGGCATGAGGACTGTGGGATAGAAATGCTGACATAATTAGGTCATTTATTAACCTTTTTTACACTTCAGCTTAAAAAACCCCACAGGTGAGTTATCTGAAAAGCAAGATAGTCCTAAAAAAATCACAACTAGCAAAGATCTGTGAAAGGGATTACATTCTGGTCACTAAACCCGATAGCCTAGCATAGTTCATTAAGTTTATGCACAATGATGAAACATTAAAAAAGATAATTTGGGTTGAATTAATAACTGTTACAGGTTTGTCCAAGACATTTTTCCTCATCATATAAATGTCTAATAAGGAAATTGTGCTGGTTAGTGGACTGTAAAAGAGTACATATCCACCTTTCAGACACAGAGATTCTGCTGTATGTAATGTTTTGTTCATTGTCAATTACCGTGGAGATTTTATTTTTTTTTTTACATGCTTAGCTGGATCTTTTCTTGATTTAAAAGGCAATGTTGGTCCACTGTTAAATGGATACAGCCCATAATTAAAACCCCTGTGTATTAACCTGTAAACAGTTTTAAAAAACTGAATCCTGAATTAAGTGTTATGGCAAATGTAGCGGATAACAATTCAAATGGTTCTTTAAAATTGCAGTGCTATTATTTGTGGTCTTGTATTTTAACTACCTGAATCCACACGGATGGAAATACCTTTCAAATCAATTCTCAATATTGCCTTTTCAAATAACTGACATTTATGAAGGGGAATACTCTCGCGTTAATCTTACCTAAAACCTATAAGAGACAATTAGAGAAATTGTCTGGTTTAATCAAATCAGGGATTTTGCATATAAATAAGAGACAATATTCTATGTAGGGTCTTTATGTAGGTGCATTAGGATTCACTTACTGGCTCCAATGACCTATGTTGTCCCCATGATTGTTTCAATCCTGTGGTATTGTTTGGTTGTTTAGAGCTTGTTGGTTTTGAATGCTGTACATTTTTTTACTACTGCAATCCTAATGTTTCTTCACATACTTGTACAGTTCCACATTTGATGTATTAGTCTGAAATTCTGTTAAAAACATGAACAAAAATGGAAATGATATTTCTTTGGAAGTGTATTTTTACTGTATATCTAATTTGAACTAGTTGAACATACTTCTTTACATTTTGCATGATAGGTGTGTAGTTCATTTTTTAAATATGAAAGAGACTTAAGAGTAACTTAGAATGAGAATATAATGAAACCTATACAAATATGGAAAATACATACAATGATTTGCTACTTTTTGACTCAAGAAACTTTTTGAAATACATTTTACCTAGTTTATTTAAGATAATGCAGATATTTTGTCTTTGAGTTCATACATAATTTAAAAGGGGATTACACACTAGAAAAACATTCAAGTCACCATGGTACTCGACAGCACACTGGATTGTTCTTGTCAAGTAAAGAGAGAAGATATTTGATTTTAAGAATGCTGAAATAATATATTTTGATCTAAAATAGAGAGGGATAGCACTACTGTAAGTGATCTCTAATCACAATTTAAAATTTATTGACACTATTAATAGCTACATTTCATAAAACCTATTTTTCATTCAAATTATCTAAGTTTGGGAAGAGAAGACTAAGGATCATTATACTAATGAAGAACCTGAATGCCTGCCCTGGAAGCAAAAGTCAATTTATCAAATATACTGTGGATGGGGAAAGTGCCTTCAGGATATTTTGGTTTGCAAACTATCTTTTCTTCCTAGCTGTTAAAAACCCCCATATATTTAGAGCACTTTCCTGTAACTGTTTGTTATTTTTTGACTGTTGGAATGTAAAGACTAAAGCTTAGGCACCTGTAATAGTAATCTTCATTTAAAGGAAAAGGGGGAAAAAAAACACAAATCAAAATAAGAATCAGGCTTCCTGTTTGGGCATGATGATAGCAAGGACATCCAGGTGACTAAAAGAAGTTCCATGTGTACATGCTTATGGTCTTCACTGTGACTTAATAATGCTTGGAAGGAGAGATTTTAACTGAAAGTAGGTGAATTATGATTTTTTTTTTTTCCTTCAGAAAGCCAGGACTAATTACACAACTCTGCTGCTGTTTTTTAAAATGAAATTTGGTATAAGTTGCCATTAGAAAAGGTCATAGCATCAAATATAGTGTGATGAGATTAGCCTAGACATTTTAAGAAGGACTTTTTTCCCTCTTCTCTTCTCTTCTCTTCTCTTCTCTTCTCTTCTCTTCTCTTCTCTTCTCTTCTCTTCTCTTCTCTTCTCTTCTCTTCTCTTCTCTTCTCTTCTCTTCTCTTCTCTTCTCTTCTCTTCTCTTCTCTTCTCTTCTCTTCTCTTCTCTTCTCTTCTCTTCTCTTCTCTCTTTCTTTCTTTCTTTCTTTCATCTTTTTAACCCTAATTCTTCTCCAGGACACATCATGAACTGCTGGCAATAGGCTGTTTACTTTCATGAAGGGTAGATCATCGTCCTGTCACACAGTGTATATCCTGCTTACCTGCGTCCTCCAGTCTGACACTGACAAACGCTTCTCATTTATCTTACACTGTTTGACTGTCCACAGCTTCTACACTGTGAATCCTCCAACCAGCTGAATGCTTCGGTGGTTTTTTCCTACCTCTGCAGGAGTTTATCCCTTCTGAATAAGGAGGATGTAAACCATTCCTGGTAGCAATTAATTTATCCATAGCTAAAATAGCAATCTGTAAAATGAACGGCTTATGCATTTCTGAGATCACTTTAACCTGCATTTGAAAAGGCAACAGGAGAAATATATGTGCAACACGTCCAATTCACATTAGAAGCCAGGGTCTGGGTGGTGTGAAATGGTTGTGCATCCACTATTTGGGGCATACAATTATGCAGTTGCCCGCTATCTGCATTTCTGCTTTCCAAGGTTATAATATTACACCTCCCTTTCCAGACCTTCAAGCCCTTTTTTTTTCTTGTCCTGCGGGTGAGTTGATTGGAACTCTGCTTAATCTCATACTTCAAATAATTTTGTCTGAGTCTGCAGTATCTTTGCTTAAAAAACTAAGTATAGCAAACCACAAACATCGTTCACACCCTCCCATACATTGCATTTAAGGCTGGTCGGAGTCTCTGGTACGATACGTCACTACCCATGTAGGCAGCAGGGCCTATATGGATCATGGTCTGTTCTCATTCTAATTAAAGAGAAGCAAAGGAATAAGTATTAGATTCGTGATCTACAGTGAATAAAAATGTGTTTTAAGTGTATCTTAGGACTGGCAAATGGCTTTAAAGGGGAATAAAGAGGGTATATTTTTGACACACGGGAAGCTGCTGTGGTTATGAAGATGAGCAGTAAAGCAGCTGGACTCTGAGCGCTCATGTTTTTCACTTCCCTGACTGGAGAGAGGTCTTTAGTTCATTGCAGGCTTTAGCTGGGATGCTTAAAATGATGTGGAAAGCGAAGAATCAAGTTTGACTCTGTCATAACGTTAGGTGAGTTATCAGTAATTTGTCTGAAAAGTCAATGGGGAAAGATGGCTGCACCAAATAGCAGAGTGACGCGCCTTTTACGAGTAGCTGTGCTACTAACGAAGCATTATCCCCTCGTTCCCTGTTAGGCAAGCATCTTCACAGCCTCCATGTGCTTGATGAGGTAAACTTCCCTGAAAATGTTCAGTAAGCATGCTGACCTTCTGGGGAGCAGCAGAGAAACTAAAAATGTGTAATTGCCATTAATTGTAAGAATTAGCAATTGTAATCAATACCTGTGTCTCATTTTGCTAACATTTCTTATTTTGTAAGCTATGTGCAAAATTAGTCTTTTGGCATTTGGGGTGTTAAAGAGTCATTTTTATGTTCTTTTACTGAACCTACCGTTGGCTTTGTGCCATGAACAGGAGTAA